ACCCGAGACTAAATTCCGCCAACCCTCTGAAATTTAGATTTTTAAATTAATTTTTTTTATTATTTTACATTAATATCTTTATTAAAAGTTTGAAGATCAATCAAATTTGGGTGTAATAATTTATGTTACAAATAATGAAACTGACTTTTAAAATATTAAGAATCTTATTCTTATAACTATAATTGGATATTTAGAAAAAAATATGATAGTTACTAATCCTTAGAATTAAAAATCATAATAAGGTATAAGTTTTAAATAGTTATTAATAATATTCTTTTAATTGATAAAAATTTCTTGATATTGGTCTTGCATTTATGATAATAATTTTTCTTAATAGATTTTTGCTATTTGTTTTTAAACTGTGAATTTCATTATTGATTTAAATTAAAGTATTTATAGTATATTTCTTAGTGAAAATATCTAAATCTCTTTTAATTTGTTCTTTCTCATCTTAATTGTGTAGTATTGATTGTGGAAGTATCATAAATATCAAAATTTCTTATTAATTTGCAATTTATATTTATATTATAAATAAAAGATGGAAGATGAATATGTTATGGTTAATGGCAGAAAACTGTAAATAATTAAATAATAATATTAGATTCCCCGTAAGATGTATCAAGGCAATAAGATCTATAATGGAATAACTCTTAATTTGCATTATTAGATTGGGTATTTAAATATATGATTTACAATCATTTAGTTTGAAGTAAAGAATCTAATTCTATATATTCCAAGAAGATTCCCTCATGTATCTCAATGGAAATCATAATACAAAGAAATAGTAATTCATTTTACGACCAATAGATGAAGAAGATGTAAATTTATACCATTAAAGTTTAGGTTGTAGTGATGATCATTTTGTTAATGATAAAATGATACTCTCTGTTGGTCTTGGACTTAAGAAGAGTACCAAAAATTATGGAAATGTTAGAGTCTTTAAACCAATCAAAAAAAATCCTTCACTCTTCTTCATTAACATCTTCCTTTTGGAATTTAAGTTAAAGATGTAGCCTTTCTTCATAATGCTAAATATACTATTACTCTTTGTTATAATACTTCATCTCATGATACCTCATATATTAGTGTCTTCAAAACCAATACTGAATAACTCATTACACTCATTACATATTCTGATGTAGATGAAAACTATGTTGGTTTGTTTAGAACCTATAAAGATTTTGAATAGTTCGGCACATTTGGACCAAATGTCTTAAAAATTTGGAAATTTAATCCTATCGAAAAATAATTGGATGATGTCTTCCTCGATTATGAAGGAGTTATCACTCACGTTGTCTAATCCTATAAGTAATTAATATTTTTTATTTATTAAGAAAAATATTCCTTATGAATAAAAAAGGAATCTTGTACTTTTATCGCAAAAAAAAATTATCAATTCTGCCAACATTTCTAATGATATGAATAAAATTCCTACTGTTTAGCTGCTTACTCAGAAGGAGTTATTGGAGGATTCGAAAATAAACCAATTATTGCTATGTATGAAGGACATAAAGGAATTATAGAATATATAAAGCAATATCCTTTAAATATTAAAGATGATTCTTATATTTCAATTACTGCTAAACATAAAACAAGACAAACAGAAAATGAAGAAATAAATTGTGAAATATATCTTTTTAATCTTGGATTTGTAAATTATTTAAATTCTGCTTTTCGAGATCCTTTTGAGCAACTTTTTCCATAAGGTGTTCATAAAAGTAAAATTTTAAATGTAGAATCATCTCATCAAAACCAATAATTTGTGTATTATCTGAAGAGAGAGTATTTGGGTGGGAATTTACTTATGAAGAAGGTAAATTTAAATGTCTTTATTCATGAAGCACCATAATGTATGGCTTTACATCCTATGCCATTTTAATGTGCAAAAGGTTATAGAGAAGGACTGAAATTTTTGTTGTTTTGCATGATGAACTAAAATAAGTTTATTATGAATCATTAAAATAATGTAGTGTTGTAAAATATATACCAGGAGGAAATGAATTAGCTTTTGGATCTTAAAATTAAATATTAATATATGATCCATAGAAATATAGATTAATTTAAACAATATCAGGACACATGGGTACAATTGCATCATTAGAATGGTGCGATAATACTTTGATATCTACATAAGGATTAGTTATGGTATTTAATTAAAGTAGACTGGTTGATCATTCATTTAAACTTCATAAAGGATTTTGTTAAACTTATGATCCTGAATATGATTTTCTTATAGAAAGTTATTCTGATAGTAAAGTGAAAATATTTAATGAGAAAGGATAGAAATTTATATTTTGAAATGGATATTTATCCAAGTTTATATGTTTGTGTTTAAATTTTGAGATTTTTAGATATGGCCATTTACTTAATTTAAAGATGATTAAGAAATGTTTGAATTTCAATTGCATCAAGGTTCAATTACTAAGGTTAGAATGTCTTCTGAAATAAAAAAGATCTTATAAAAGAATTAGATTTTAGGATTCTAATCAAAAAGGTGATTAAAAAGATTAAAAAGAAGATATTACATAAAAATATTAAAAATAAGAAAAAGAATTAGAATAAAATTATTAACGTCTTATTGCTAATAATAAGGAAGAATTATCTAATACTATGGAAGATAAAGATAGAAGAAATAAAATTTTAGATCTTTCTTTAGTTAATCTTAAAAAACAGAATTAAGTTAATCACATTAAATTTAAGAAAAAACTGAAAAAGATCTTTTATTGTATTAAAAAAAATTATGAAGTTAAATCTAGATGATAACTTATCAATGAAGAAAATTTAAAAGTATATGAATAAAAGAAGGATCATCTTGAACCTATTAGAGCAAATATTAAAAATGATTAAGATACTAAATTTAATGATTTATTTTAAAGACTTTAAACATCATAAGAATCTTTCGAATTAGATGAAAAGAAATATTTAGAAGTATTCAAAGAAACTGAAAAAGTATTTGAATAATTAATAAATGAATAAAAAGAAAAAATACTTATTAAATTAAAAGAATTATTAGAAAAAAGTGAAAAATTAGATCTAGTAATACTAAATTTAAAAAGATTGTGATAGATTTCAATTAAGAAAATAATAATTACAAAATATGATAAGAGAAACAGATACATAAATATAACTTGTTACTAAAGAAAAAGATAATTTAAAAAAAATAAATGAAGAAAAGAAAAATTAATTAAAAGAAAGAGAGAGATAAATTTTTTAAAAAGAAAAGGAAATTAAGAATTATAGAAATAAAAATGGTCATTTATAAAATTTTAAAAAAGTTAATTCTTATCGTTTACAATCCTTATAAGAATAAAAAGCACCTCTTTAAGAACATTTATCAGATTTAGACTAAAATGTCAAAATAATGTATTAAGAGTTGACAGATGAAGCAGAAGCAGAAAAAAATTTAGAAAATTTAATAGAAGATACTTCAAATAAAATTAAAGAATTAAAAAATTAATATTTAATGAAGAGAGATTCTTTATTTTCTA